GTAACATTCACTAACACTTGGTGATACAGTTTACATTAAGATTCTGATATGTACTGATCTGGGCATAGACTCATTTCTCCTCAGCAGAGATGTGTTCTCTCTCTCTCTCTCTCTCTCTCTCTCTCTCACACTCACACACTCACACACACACACACACGGATGGAGAAACTCGACACAAACATCTGCAGTAGTAGAAAGCATCAGACTCCTTCACGTTTTGCTCACTTTGTGGGTCACTGTTATTTCGCCCACCAATTTACACACTGGGCTGAAAAGCGACCCAGTCTCAGGTTCTTGTGCACTCTGCAGCAGGTTTTGGTAGAGGACATCTCTGTATTTATCTGCATTCTGACCAGTCTCCCTGTCCCTCCTGCTCTATCATAAAGAAGAAAAACATGTTTTTACTTTGTCATTGTGGCTTATTGAGTGAAGAGTGATCCATTTAAAATTAAACCAACAACACAATAAAGTGTGCACAATGTGAAGAGATCTGAATACTCTCTGAAGCCACTGTATATTAACGGTCTATCTAAGACGGCAACACACACACACACATTCAGACCTGCACACGTCTCCATGATGGTCTTCAGTGGACCCACAGTGTAGAGCAGACCCACCAGGATACCTGCCAGGTGGGCAACCAGAGAAGTCCTGAAGAGGAGCACAGACCACAGTATGAAAATTTAAACACTTCACTACTCAGTATACTAATCTACGGCACCATGACCAAAAAATATGTTTGGTTGTTCTGACTCTTCTAGTTTTTACAGGATCCTTTTTTTTATGTTAGTACGACATCTTAAATATTATTCTGTCATTGTTACCATTTTTACAATGATGGATGGACTGTACTTTAATTGGTCCAAATGTCCCGAGCATATAAAACTTAAAAAGCATTTAAAGGTCCTATATTTGACACTTTTCCAGTGTTGTATTTGAAGTGTTGATTTTAAAGAAGATATATTTGTTGTTTTAAGAACCAAAAACCATCTGAGTGTAGTTCTACATCTCCTCTCTCAGGCTTCTCTCTGGAGCTCTGGTAACAACAGGTCGGTGAGCCAATCAGAAGAGAGGAGGCCCTGAGCCGATTTCAGGTAAACACTCAGAGAAACCAAATCCTGCAAGGATGGTGGGTCTAGGTGGGCGGGGCTTGGGGCATGGCTTAGAGCAGTGACTGCTTGTTGTGACATCACAAAGTTACAGAAGTCCTTACAGCTGGTTTTAAGGCTCAGTTTCTGAATACAGGCTGTGTGCATTTCTCTGTGGACTGAGGCTTTGATACTTTCACAGTATTAATATAGAACCTAGACCTGCTTTATAATCAAACAACACATGGACATCTACCTTTATACTATATGGTTTACCTTTAAACCAGTAAATGTAGTTTCTCCTAGTCAACAAAGACCACAATCTCCAAAGTTTCTGTTATTTAGCATTTAGCTGTAGGTTTAGCTTTTAAAGCCTTTCTAATTCCACAGAGAATACAATTTAATACCTTTTTTACAATCACAGCGGCCAAAGGATGACAGAAAATGAATGATAATTTATTACATATACATGTATTTGTATATATACAGTATATGAAAATAATTCCTAGTAATTGGTCATTTAACATAACCTGTATCCAGATAAGTGGCAGAAAATTGATGAATGGATTAAGAAATTTAAAAAAAGATCAATTTAATTAGATTTGTGCAAAAGCTAACACTTGCCCATAATGAGGGGATGAGGTTCCTTGCTACTGTAGCAGTAGTAGTGTCAGTGTTTGCTGACTGAAAGTCCCCAAAAAGGGATTGAACATCCTCCTGCAGAACCACAGATGTATGTCTCACAACAGCCCTCGTTTACTAATGTTACTGTCTAGGCAGGGAAAAAACATATTCAAGACTTTCAAGATTTTTTAAATAAGTTGTTAAAGCCTTTTAACAACTAAATTCAGTTTAGTTGTTGTTGTTTGCAGACTTGCAAAAGCCCTGTAGACTTTATGTCTGGGTGGTTGATGTTTTGTTTTTTTCCTAATGGTGACCATGTTTCACCTCCCGCTCCCTGGTGCCCAGGAGAGCACTGTAATTTTGGTCTTTGATTATCTCACCCAGGATTGATTAGATAGATCAGTACCAGCTCCACCCAGCTGGCAAAGCGATTGGACACACGGATATTCAACACGTAGGTCACACCGCCTGGGTTGTAATGGTTACCGACCACCTTCAGAGCAAACAGGACGCCTGAAAACACAGTTGTGTTGAGAGGATTAGAAAAAAACAGGATATGTTCAATATCACCAAAACAGAGGGTTACTTACAGTCAATATGAAACCAGAGAGAAAAGTACATTAAATGAGAAATAGTACAGCTTGTTTGCCATTTCTATATACATTTTGTTTTTCATTAGGGCTGCAACTAACAATTATTTTCATTATCAATTAGTCTGCTAATGACTTTCTTGATGAATCAATCAATCATTTGGTCTATAAAATTTCAGATATTCTATTTTAGTGAAAAATGCACATCACAACGTGCCAGAGCACAAACACAAACATTTGAAGCTGAAACCAGTGACTTTGATGCAGGTTTGCAAGTATAAAATGATTAATCAATTATGGGATTCATTCTGGTGTTGATCAACTTATTGTTTCAGGTCTATTTTTAAAGTTTACTTCAAAATTACACTTAGAGCATCCGTCACTAGATTAAGATGTGATGATGTCAGTCGTTTACAGCAGTTCCACAAGAGTTTTCAACTGCATCCTCATTTTTTCACATTGTCATACGCAGTCCAGCCATATACTAGGTTTTAACCTAGTCTTGTTTACTTCTAACATCTTAAATATATTTTATTGACCAAACTATTAATCACTTAATCAAGAAATTCATTTACATACTAATTCATTGAATAATGAAAACAATCTAATTAAATACAAATGGTATTTGACATAAAAAATTAGAAACTATGAACAACGACATTTATGACTGTGACCTTCAGTGCACTCTGAGGTGGTTTTCAGCCGAGAGTGAGGCCGACGGGATGAAGGTCTGCAGCTCCAAGCCTGAGGTCATGGTTCTCTGCTGGAAAACGGTGGACTGCTCCCTCTGGGTTGAGGGTGAGTTGCTGCCTCAAGTGAAGGAGTTTAAGTATCTCGAGGTCTAGTTTATGAGTGAGGGTAGGATGAAGCAGGAGACCTACATCCAGAGTGGTGCGGCGTCAGCAGTAACGCAGGCATTGTACTGAACCTGGGCCAGGGGGCGAAGCCTTCAATTCACCAGTCTAGATCAGACCTACACCTTTGGTCATGAGCTTTGGATAGTGACTGTGAGAATGAGACTGTGGATACAAGTGACTGAAATGAGTTTCCTCTGCAGGGTGGCTGGTACCAGCTTTAACGAAAGGGGGGGGGTGAACTCAGACATCCAGAGGAAGCTCAGAGTAGACCCATTGCTCCTTCACATTGAAGGACCCAGTTAAGGTTGTTTGGGCACTTGATTAGGATGACTCCTGGGAGCCTTCTATTGAAGGTCTTCCCAGCTCATCCCACCGTTAGAAGACACCTGGGTAGTCCCAGAACACAATAGAGAGATTATATATCTCATCTGGCCATGGTGCTGCAGACAGGGAGGTCTGGACTGTCTTGCTTGACCTTCTGCCACCGTGACCCAACCCCAGAACAAGGGGTCAAGGGGTGAAAATGGATGGATGGATGGATGGACATTTATGACTTAGATTTGCATACAAATAAAATAAATATATTTTTTTTCATTTTCTAAAATAATAACACTGTTGGTAGTTTATACCTGAGAAGCCAACAGCACACTCGTTGCTGTGAGAAAACACGTCTATGAATCCTAGAAATGGATCTGAATCCTCAGTGAGTTTTGTCATCAGCGCCTGCAGCAGCAGATAGACCAGTCCGGTGAGCAGAAAGAAGACTGACAGCAGGTAGAGGAACCAGGCTGCACCCAGACTTGGCTCCAGCTTGATGCCTTTCCAGAGGAGGGACACCATGTTGAAGTAGAGGTGCCAATCATCAACATGGTGCAAGGGGGACAGGAAGAGGCGACACCACTCTTTATACCTGTACACATGTTGGAGGCTCACACACGCCTGAGGATTAGATGGATAGAAAGTAGTAATAAATGTCCAATAACAGCAATAACAAGTCATGCTACTTGATGCCTCTACTCTGCATTTCAGTGGGAAATATGTGTTGTATATATGCCACTTATCTGACAGCTGCAGTCACTTAGATTGTAGATTGAGATTTACATACAAAACATACAATGAGTTCTTAACATGTGATACATTGTTATACATAGATTAAACTATCTAAGCAGTAGCACTGCTGCAAACTGTGCCACTGAGTTGTCAGATCAATTCAACAGATTACTGTTGAATTACCTTCAATAGAGGAGCAGCAGGGAACATGTACAGATACACATTGAATCCCAGGACAGTCAGGGTGACTGCAGGGATGTTTCCCAGACCCTCCTGGAACAGCTGGACCACCAGAAGCAGCAGGCCCAGCTGGAAGCCCCTCTGCATACTGAGAACAGCCTGGAGAGACATGGTGCAAAGTAAAAGTTAGATCTATTCATTTTCTTGGCGACAGGCCACAAATCTGTTCCTGGGTCAGCCGGCATAAACACCTGACCCTGCAGAACATGGTCAAAGTTAGGTGATCAATCTCAGTCCTTAAGGAGGCGATAAAGGCCAGTTAAAGCTAACCACAGCGTAAACAAACATAGTGTCCATGAAGGAAGGAAGGTGTACTACTGTGCTAACTGCACTGAAGAACATATCAGATGTGAGACCATCCTCCTGTAAAAAAAAAAAAAAAAACAACCCCCCAGGTCATCTGTGCAGGCAGCTTATTATGACCCATAGTTACATTTCAAAGTGAGCAAACACAACAAAATACTGAAAACACAACCCATGTGGCTGTCAAATACACAAATGAAGTGCAAATACTGAAAACACATTAACCAGAATACTGACATTTTCACAACTAGTTTTTTTGTTTTTACCAATTAGATAAATTAAATATAAAATGAGCTTTAGAGGTGCATGTAGATGGTTACATTTTATTTACGGAGCAGTTGCCAAAATCATCCAAGACAAATATTTACCCAACACACACAAGAGTTTTCAAATCTTCGAATTTAAGGAAGATGTAGCGGCTAAGCCTAAACTTAAAGCCACTGAGGGGCTGCATAGACGGGCTAAAACTATTAGACGCGCTTGCTGCTACTGCATGACTAGAACTTGTGTTCAATGAAACAAGCAGCTTCGGGATTCGCTTCTTCATTTGATGCTTTCTTTATTTCTCACCGTCTGGATCTTTAAACCATGCAAGAATCCATTACTCAAACAACAACATTACTACGAACAAACGTGACAGCAGCGGAGCGGGGCGTACCGTAGCGGTCGAAAAACTGTGTACTCCTTCAGTCTAGCAACACACCTGACACCTGCCAGAAGGTTCCCACCCATATAGAAATTCACACACAATACAATGAGGACACCTACTGGCCATATTTGGTATCTACATATATTCGCATAGAAATGGCTCTTACAGAAGAAAATAAGCATATTTGTCAAAATGTTATCAAATATTCCTTTAATTGTGAAACACCACAAAATAGCAGGTAGGCCTACTTTATTTCAAACTTTTCAGCTGCAATAAGGACACCTCTGTATTCACTGCCCTTCTTCATTCTTTGTTTTAGGTGATTATATAATAATGAAGCAGCTGATCCAGAGAGCGGAGAATAAACACAGCTCCAAAGACTTCACAGTCTTATAATAAATCTGAATACACTTTACTTACACGTCACGCCTGTTAAAGCTGTGTTATTATTTTGTTCGGTACAAGTCCACAGAGCTTTATCTCAGCCTCATGCATGAGTTTTAACCGTCAGCCCGCTGCTGCGCGCGCTCCCGCGGTGGGAAGGAGAAACGAAACCGAAACTTTAGCGGTAAATAAACTGTCAATAATGTATGCTGATGTTTTTTTTTAAAGGTCTAAGTGCTTGAACTGAACAAAACTTAGATTAGATACACACACTATATGTAAGTGTCATGTTGCAGTTTCATCTTAACGAAGAAAGCTGACTGACATTGGGAAGAACTGACAGCATCACTGACTTTATATTTCACAATAATAATAAAAACACATGAGCAAAATAGTGACGGCATACGTGTGACTTTTAACATGAAGAACCTAGTTTGGAAAGATTTATCTCTTGAGCAACTGGTGGTGAAGCAATTCTATTACTAGTGGACTGGCTGGAAAATAATTTGCCCATTCAGAAATGTAACATTTATATAGGACATATGTCTCAATATTGAGAGTGATGTTGCCATATATGTCGCATTAAGATTGATTATGATTTATTTTTATATGGTATAACATGTTACAACCATATATGTTATGTGTATATATGTACATATTATATGTTATTAATTTAAAATATGTCTATCTAACGATTCTAGGAAAGTGCTCACAGACTTAATAATAGCAACATATACTGACAAGCTTTGAGATGGATATACAGTATAGTCATGTAACATATGTCTACAATATAAACATACATACACAAACATACATATTCATATGGTCTAGACATATGTCCCCATGAACTTGTTCCAGTTTCTATTAGGTTTTATATATAATTTTACATATGTTTTATTTTAATTGGGCATTAATTGTGGGGGCCGTGGATTGACTGTCTGCAGGGCCAAGGATATGGACTTTTTTAGTTTTATTCAGGTTCGGCTGAAGGACGCTTTTTGCCATCCAAGATAAACTGCAAAGGAAGTATAAGGAAAATAAAATAGGGCCTGTGTATTTGTTAATTTGTTTGTTTGTTTGTTTGTTTGTTTTGTTTTTTAGCCGTATGTTTTAGCAGGCCGTCCATGGTAGTTTTTTTTTATTGTTTAAATTTAATAAAATTTTTTATTATTAATTACATTAGATATTCAGAGTAAGGCACAAAAGAAGTAGCCCGGCCATCCTTGGTAGTCCCCAGTCCGCCGTGTTGACACATGACGTCATCGCGACTACAGCTGCTGTCGTCGGTCGGGACGCGGAGATTCATTCAAATCGGTTAGACTCGGATTAAACATAGGATACACCTGCATCGCCAGTTCCGTGGAAGATCCGACTGTCCGCTGGTTTACCTTTTCTTTCCGCTGCTGTGTCGACTCGGCATGGGGAACTGTTTGACTGTGGGTCCAAACGAGGCTCTGGTGGTCTCCGGTAGGTAACGTTGATATCAGAGCTAACGGTTAGAAGGTGGGTGGCTAACTAGCTAACCAAGCCTCATTTAACTTTCTATTGTCTGTCGCAAAATTACTTGTTTTGTCTGCTGAAACTAGAAATGACTGTCTTCTGTGTTAAATTCTGAAACCAAATCCTTGTCTGTAATGTTATTTATTGACGTTAATCACGGTTTAGCTGAGCTTAGATTACACTGTCAGCACCGTTAAGTCACATGATCGACAGGCTTTGGTTTATCATCAGAGGAATACCGGCCCAGATACATCAGTTTATAAAGCGCTGTAGCTTATGTGTAGAGTTTGACCACAAATTATAATTACAAACCACAAACCCATGTGCAAACAGTTAAAGTCCCTGTGTTTGGAGGCAGTCTGTGGCTTCATTCCACATGATGTTATTGCTGGAGGGGGGCGGTTTGATCACCAGCCCACCCCCATCGTCGCTATCAAAATAAAACTGCAGTGATGGAAGAAGTGATCAGATCCTTTACTTAAGGAAAAGTACCTACACATAAGTGCAAAAATACTTAATTACAAGTCCTGAATAAAAATTCCACTTAATTAAAAATACACATCTATTATCAGCAAAATTTAGCGAAAGGATCAAAGCAAAAATACTTGTGACTGAACTATTATCATATATGATGTTATTAGATTAGAAAACAAAGTCCGAGACACACATTTGTGTTGATATTTTGGGCTGAATCTTTTCTTTTTTCTGTTAAATGTTGGTTAATTTTACCTCTTTGAGCCTCAAAAAGTTTGTTTGAATGAAACTGTTTAATGACTAAATCTCTTTTTGGTGAAACTGTTAACAACTCATAAACATCAGAAACATGAGAAAAGCCCCCAACTAAACACTGCTTTTAAGTGAAGGGTCACAAGCCCAAAAGACTGGAAAAAGAAATGGTTTATCCTGTTAACAATGTGTTGTGTTTTGTTGATAATATTAGTTTGTAAAAACCTGACCTGTAAAGTAACTAGTTAATGTAGATGGATATATGAGATCTCCGTATTATTGTCAGAGAAAATATCAAAGCTGGAAATGCTGTGCAGCAGTGGCTCCCAGTGTTTTTTGGTTTGTGTCTAGTGCTGTATCGAATGATTATTTTCATTGTCATTTAATCTGTTGATTATTTTCTCAATTAATCAATAATAGCTTTGTCTAAAAAAATGTCAAAAAATTGTGAAAAATCCCAGCAATGATTTTCCATAGCCCAGGGCGATGTATTCAGATGACTTATCCAATACCCAACAACCCCTAGATATTCAGTTATTATACATGTTGAAGAGGTGCTTCAAAGTCCCACATTTGTGAAGCTGGGACCAGCAAACATTTTTACTTCTAAAATTATTAAAATTATGAATGGATTAGGAAAATGCTGATTAATTTTCTGCCATTGACTCATTGATTAATTGACAAAATTGAAACTCCTGAGCATTGTCTAGTTGTGAGCGATTGTCACCAGTTGAAAACGTCTTTGTTATGATCAGGTCGACCGTTTTGTTTTTGTTGCTTTCTTTCATTTGTAAATTATGACACCCCTGGAAATGTAAAACTATTCCATAATTCACAAATAAAAAAAAGCAGAGACAAGAGGAACAACTGAGGAAATAGATCTGTTTCTGCTTTCCTGTCCTGTTATAATGCCACAGCCACTCAGGTTTATTACCTGACCGAGGTTGAGAAATACTGCTGAATAGTGTAGTACTATATCTCCCACGCTGCTTTCACACTTGTTGTGTTATTGCTGTGCTTTTATCTACACACCAAGCTTTTTTGACTGACAGACGTTTTGCACAAGCCCTCAAGTGAACAAAGTTAAGTGACTCCTGAATAATTCAGATGACAGCTCAGAGTTCAGCAGTGCAGTTTGATGTCAACATGTTATTTGATGAAAAGTGTCTGGATTATTGACCATGACGCTTTGTCTTAATAGAAATGTTCTTCTCCCCTCAGGTGGTTGTGGCTCTGATGATAAGGAATACATCGTGGGAGGCTGGGCCTGGGCTTGGTGGTTCCTCTCAGACGCTCAGAGGTGACAGCATAGTATAAGCAGTTTTATGTTATCTTGAAATGGCCTTTTAGTAGCTCCTTGAAATGCCTTTGTTCAGGCCAGTACTACTCATCACAGATAAGTGGATCATGCTATTAAAAATCCTCTGTTCATACTCATTTGGATGAAATGACCAAGGTTTTTCACAGCTCACAGCTAACATGGGCTTTTGCGGTCTTGAATTCCCACAGGGAAGTCAGTCCCATTATCTGCAGGCAGTCAGTACACAAGTAGAGGAGGAAAACCGTTCTACCATATTGCCATACCATTACCATATAGTCTTGTATCACACACAATGTACAACAGGTTCAATGGTGTTTTTCCTTTTCTGTCTATATTCCATACACACATTCCCACTTTTCTTAGCTGTGTAGTAATAACATGCCCTCCCTATGATATGTGCAGTGTCAAAAGACAAATATACTTTTTGCATTATTTGTTTTTGGCCTGTTGAGCTCTACTAGGCAATCACACATTATATCACAGCACTTTTATATACTACAGCGCTGGTCATCAGCCCTGTCACATGTCACCGTTGGATTGTCAAATATTTCATTTGCTCTGTTGTAAAGTCCTGTGCTGTCCTGTTCTGTTGTGGTCCTGCCAGATTTTACTCTCTATTCATTTCTTGGAAGGATTAAACGAATAATCGCAAATACAACCACCTCCTCCACTTGTGTACAGTTCAGTCCGATTGTTAAACAGCTTCTGAAACTCCCTGACACCTTTCCAACATCTGAATTTAGAAGGTTTCACCTGACAGACTTTATGTCTGAATTGTCTTGTGTAAACATGCATGTAATTAAGTAGTTAATGATGAATATGAAAAAGGTATGCCTTGTTAGGTTGCAATTAAAATATATTCAGAAGTGGCCAGTTAATGATGCATTCACCTCATAGATCATGACACATGAGTTGCTTTTAACAATAAAAATATCAATATTGTTATTTTTATTTGATCTTTTATTAATCAAAGAAGAAACCAGTTCAATTGATGAAAGATTATTTCATAAAATGAAAAAAATCTTATCAGCGGAAATTCTTATCAGCGGTGGTGAAGAAAGAGCGCTGGAGTCCAGGATGTCTTATGCTGAGGATGTTTATTGAAGCTTGATCAAGGAGAAAAGAGGGATTATCATGACAGGCTTCTGTGCATGATGTCACCTCAATTCTGAAGCAGGAACCCCTGAGGATAGTCTTCATACACTTAGAGAGATTACTATAGATAGCTTACACTCCCTAATTGGTCAAATATCTAGAAGAAGAGGAAGAAGGGGGATGTGTGAATACATTATTGGTTAATTAACCATAAACAAGGAAACAAGATTATACACGCCCAAGTGCTGATTCCAAGAACACCCAGCCACTTGTTACTGACCATCCAAGGTCTGTTGTTATCAGCCCTGGCACCAGCAGTATCAGCATCAAACCACAGCTCCGTCTGGAGGAGCCGCCTGAGCGTCTCAAGGCCTGTCAGATTTAATGCAGTAGCTGTGGCACAGCGACCTAGGGCCTCACACTGACCTTTCACCCTGAGTCAGTCATTTGTTAGGTGGACAAGAGAAAATTCCCTCACATACATTATACTAACTTAATATTAACATTTCATGCTCCGCTTTAGACAGTCTTACCCTGAGTGACTTTAAGTGGATCACCCATGAAAAAAAAATACAGTTAATATACAATATTGTGCAAACATTTTAGGCTCTAAAAGTAAAGTGAGGATGCCTCCAAAAGCAAAGTCATCAATAGTTTTTATCTATCAGTTAACTTCATACAAAGTGTAGCAAACAGAAAAAACATAAATCCTAGCCCTCCTAACCCCTTGCCTTTAAAACTGCAACAGTTCTTCACCTTGGTACACCTGCACATGGTTTTTCAATGTACTTGCAGGTAGTTTGTTCATAGAGATATTTTTAGTTTTTCTATGTTGATCTGTTTAAAAAAAAACAATTAAAGTTAAACTCACTTTAATTCAATGCGGTACAATACTAAAACATGAAAAAGTTACAAATTTTCAGATGGTGTTGTAACAACCAGAAGTAGGAAGTGCAACTATCAGATTCTCAGCGACCTGACAGAACACAGTGTTAAACATCCACATTCACACATCCATTTATTTCACAGTTTGCTTTTATGGCTTCATAGTCCTCTCTCAGTGGTCTATTAAATATGCTTTTGCACCTTGCCGTAGGATATCACTGGAGCTCATGACTTTGTGGCCCCGATGTGAGGATGTGGAGACAGCAGAGGGAGTAGCCATCATTGTCACAGGGGTGGCTCAGGTAAGGCCACAGGCCAATGACGTAGCTGTGTAAATACTTTCTTAATATTTAGAGAATCGTCTTCCAAGCACATAATATCAAAAACTGTCAAGTACCAACAGCTGGAACCAGATGTCTGCTCTGATCATTTGTTTGTCTGATCAGATAATTCCTGATCTAAATAAAATTTTGCCATGTTTAGACCATTTTTGTACAAAGTTGTTGTACAGCTTTGTTTGTAGGCAGACATCATCATTTTTTGTATTTATTTATTTGGTTTCTCTTAAGGGTTTTATGTGAAACCGATTAGTTTCTAGTGGTTAAGAAATAGAATAGACCTGACAGCAAATATCTAACACTGCTGATGGATTTACTTTTCCATTGAAAATGGGAGCCATTAACAGCAATGGACTGACACACAATTAATAACTGCAAAGTTAAATGTTTTTAGATATTGTTTACCTTCAAATTGTAAGTTGGATCTCAAAATCTCTGCCCATATTTCAGCATATCACAAAATGTTTCTGTATTTGCTATAATGAAATGTCACAAAGCCAGCATTGTTGCTTAAATCTTTAACACTGATATTTTGAGACTACAGCACGGGCCACATCCCATACTCTGGGTGTTGATGTTGAGAGGCTGGTCTGTGATCAGATGAGCTGATGAGTGTCTCCGTAACTGTGTCTTCTTCAGGTGAAAGTCATGACAGAGCCTGACTTGCTGGCAGTGGCTTGTGAGCAGTTTCTGGGTAGATCAGTGATGGAAATCAAAGCCATGGTTCTGCAGACTTTGGAGGGACATCTGCGCTCCATTTTAGGTACAGACATTCATTTCATTTTAACAGTTTTTGTGACATGCCAGTACAAATGATTTACTAGAATGATTTTGGGCTACATCTGTATCTGCCGAGCCCAAGGTGACACCTTCACATTTTTTCTTTTGCCTGACCATCAGTTCCAAACCAAAAGAAATAAATCACAAAAGGCTGGAAGCTTGAAGAATAACTTCAACAATTTAATGATTATCAAAATAACAGCTCTTTTTTTTTTTAAACAACTAATCGCCTCAGCTCGATTGGTTTCACAAGAAAACGTTATGATTCTTTGACATTTGTGACACTTTATATAAAGGATTACTCACACAACACTAAAAAGTTAAGACAATTCTGTTGCCCTAGTTTTTACTTAAGCTCAAGAGATCTCACACTCGATGAAAACTGCCGCTGCTGCTTAGTGAAGGTGACATTTTGAATTGCATATAGTTCTTATTTTGCAGGTACCTTGACTGTAGAGCAGATCTATCAGGACAGGCACCAGTTTGCTAGACTGGTCAGGGAGGTAGCGGCTCCTGATGTGGGCAGAATGGGCATCGAGATTGTCAGCTTTACCATTAAGGTGAGCTGAGGGTGCTGTGACCTGGTTCTGTGACAGTGGCCAGTAAGTGTAACCTTAAGAATACCTGAAGAAAATGACAATGTAGTTACTGAGCAGAAATGGGTCAAAATAATACAATTCACTGTGGATGTTGACATGATACTCTCTCCAATCCAAAAGAGAAAGCTGCAGCCTTAACCAAGAACAAACCAGCACATGAGATGAGTAGATCAGTATCATTCATAAATCTCCTGCTTCACATAATGGTCACTTGCCTAAAATTTTCAGTCATACTACAGTAAAATTAACCTCCATTTCTTCTGAAAGGAAAAATGATTCTGCTGGAAGTGACCAGAAGTTCAGGTTTGTGTTTGTTATTCCTCTGCACCGGCGACAGCCAAGGCCATAGGTCCGTCTGTCCCATTCTCCTGAACGCAATATCTCCGTAAGGCCTTCAGGGAATTTCTTCAAATTTGGCACAAACATTCACTTGGACTCAAAGATGAACTGACTGCAATTTGGTGATCTAAGGTCAAAGGTCGCCGTGACCTCACAAAACATATTTTTGGCTATAACTCACAAATTCATATGCTAATTGTGACACAATTAAACACAAGTGTGTAATAGGATAAAATGATGAAGTGATGACATTTTATATCCAAAGGGTCAAAGGTCAACTTCACTGTGACATCATAATGTACTGTGAAAACACTTCTAGCCATTATTTAACACTGTATCTTAGGGAGGGGAGATTGTGACCATAATGACTGGTTGGTGAAGTCATACAACTGCAAGCCATGAGTTAGGTAATGCATGAGTCTAATGCAGTTAAGAAGCGCGTCATTGTATTTGTTAGCCCTCTATTTTATCGATTTCTGTATGACGCATGAACTACTATGAAGAGCTCAACGTATGAGAAATACACTGTGTGTTTATACACTAAGCACTACTGTAGAAGTCACACAAACATTAGTCAGCTGTCACCCTATCTTGTTTTTAATCTATGTAGTTTTGTATTTTAACATTGCCTCATAATGTGAAAGAGCATTGACTGAATATGTTTCTGTCTCCTGTGGAGTCTGCTCTTCTCTGACTCACGAGAGAATTCATCTCTACAGGGTTTCATGAGTTTAATATTTAACCGGCAGGAGACTCATCCTGTAGAGTTCACTCTTATTGATTAGAGCTAATTGAAGAGTGGCTGACCACCGTGCTTTGCTAGAAGCCCAGAGTCCATTTCTATCACATCAACTAGTCCAAGTCCAGATGGTTTCTGTAATGCGTCAGGACTGGTTCGCTCATTAGTGGAGGCCTCAGACATTTGTGGGTTGTCCTTATTGTATTTTTTGCTTTTCATCTTTCTTATTCAAAAGGGAAAAATTCTAGTGGCAGTTTGTCAGTTAGTAGATATTATAGAGTCTCCTGTTGCACTGCCGGTGTTCCTTATGTTAATGTTGAATGTAGCTGAGACTATGTCACTAATCAGACAGCACTGTCAACAGTTAATGAGGCGTTTCCTTGTGCCAGTGACTCTTCAGTGCAGGTGCAGGAATCAATAAGCTGTTACCACACACAGATAGAAGGTGTCTGTTTGTAGTTGAAACTGCACTAGACTAATTTTCTCTAATCAGTGATGGGAGAAATTAGATATCTAGAAAACATGCAACAAATCCAATAAAGTGCTCACTCCTCAGACTTACTGAAATATTTTCTTTTTGGTGGCTGGATGCAATGTGTAGAAAAATCTTCTTCTCTCTTCTTCTGAAGAGAGTGTTTGACTTCATGCTTTTATTCATCACTTCACAAACTCTGAGAGATTTCCAGTTGATGAACATTGACCTCACAGCCAAACAGGATTTTGACAAATGGGGCAAACCACTTGTGTTTCAGTGCAGCACTCCTCTGTTACAGTCTCGCTCTCTGTAGGATAAGATGTATTTTTACTTGTCAGTTGATACTTCACTTTACTGAGATGTATTGTTTACAGGAAGCTGAGCTCTGCAGTTTATAGGTTGACCTGTTTCTCTGTGTTTGCAGGATGTGTTTGATAAACTGGATTACCTGAGCTCTCTTGGGAAGACGCAGACTGCGGCTGTCAAGAGGAATGCAGACATTGGCGTGGCTGAGGCAGAGAGGGATGCTGGGATACAGGTAAGGAGGCTGTAGACTCTGAGAAGTGGATTCTTTTGTGCAAAATAACCACCTGGTCATCACTTTACTTTTTTTTATCATCTCCCAGGAAGCAGAATGTAAGAAAGAGATGATGGACGTGAAATTCCTGGCCGACACCAAGATGGCCAACTCCAGACGTGAACTGGATCTGCAGAAAGCCATCTTCAACATGGAGGTCAACTCAAAGGTGGGCACCTGAGGTTTTCATTTGCACTTATACATGACATAATGTCGAGGCTGATCAGGTAGATGTACATACGGTTGGCTGTTTATAAGCATCACCAACCAGATCTTCTCTGTTTTGACAAACAAAGAACCAGCTCTAGGCCAGGAAAACTGGTTCCAGGACAGCACCAACACTTTGCTGGTCTACAAACTCATTGTTCAGACCCACAGCAATTTATTTAACTTTCTGGTAGAGACGTCAGAGTTTCCAAAGACACCAAAATGAGAATGTTGTAGAACTTTGTATAATATGATCTATCAGATATCTGGAATAATTTCATTTGATGGTACGATGCAGCCATGCCATTGCGAAACTTTGCTTGAATCTTCTGACATCAACCGACAAGACAGTGTCAAACAAAGATTGTGTTACCTCAGGTGTGTGTACTTTAGAGGCGTGACAGTGTGCGTGCTGATGTTTTCAGAAAGCAGAGGCCCAGCTGGCATATGAGCTGCAAGCAGCCAAGGAGCAGCAGAAGATCTGTCTGGAGGAGATTGAGATCCAAGTGGTGCAGAGGAAGAAACAGATCACCATTGAGGAAAAGGAGGTCGACCGGACAGAAAAAGAGCTCATTGCTGTGGTGAAGAGGCCCGCTGAGGCTGAGGCCTACAAAATGCAGCAGCTGGCTGAGGGGCAGAAGTAAGTGAGAACCCTTCATTTAAAGGGACAGTCAGTCAGTTTTATGAGCGTTTTCAACCAGCATCACCAGTCTGTAGAAAGTCTAAGATCACACAGCGACCTGTCATTGATTTAAAAAAGATGACTAAGCAAGCTAATTAGAATGGACATCAGAACCATCTGGGAATGTCAAAATGCAAAACACTTTAGTTGCAATATTACAGCTTTGTAGAGCTGTAATATTTGTCCAAAAATGACATTCAATTATTCACATGGTCCACAAGAGGCCAAACCAGTCCAACGAGAGACATAAATACTTGTATTGGTGTGTATGTAAGATGTGCCCTCAGGTTGCTCGTGTTGTTAGGCTAGGCTAACTGTAGTTTACGTAGCTGCATACACAGTTTTACTGTGTACCTGTCAGGCTCAGGACACGCAAGTTGAACACAAAAGCACAACCAGAGAGGCCGTTAAAAATCAGGCAGTTTATTGATCAAAATCAATGAATCCTGACAACAGTGTTCCAGAAAAACTGGCAAGCCCAAAGGAAACAGGCGAGGAATCCAATGGGGAAAAACTGAGAGACGTCGTCAGGCAGGCAGGGGCGAAACACAGACAGGCAGAATCAGGCAACGGTACCGACAGGGAACAGGCAGATCTCAGGAAACGGGTAACAGAAACGGTCTCTCTCAGAATGGCAGTCAGGAAAACGCTGGTAAGTAACTCACTGGGGAAGAAAACAAACTGGCAAAGTGCAAAGGGACACACAGGGCATAAATACTGTTGGGAATAACGAGACACAGGTGAAACACATCAGGGAGAAGGCAGGTAATCACAGAGGAAGTAAAGACACAATAGGGAAACTACCAAAATAAAACAGGAAATGACAAGACAGACATAAAACACTAAGGCCTGGGGACCGTTGTGACAGTACCGACCAAAATCCAGAGTATTTCCAAGTGATTTTTTTTTTTTAGATATCTCTCTCTGAAGCCGAGCTGGGTTGTGAATTCTCTGCCATCATTACCACATGGTTGTTGAATTATTTGACCTACATTTCATTTTCAGTCAGTGAAAGCATTGTTGTGTGACTCCTGTTCGTCATGCAGTGTGTTCAGTGCAGTGGCCCTGGTGAGAGCTAGCGAGGCAGACAGCTGCATTGCTTTTTTTTCCTCACAACTGAAAAATATTTTCACAATCAAATGTCGTGAACAATTCACAGAAGTCAGAGAAGAAGAAAAGGCCTGAAAGGTGAGAAGAGGTCAGAAATGTTAGAAACGCGAAAAGTTAGAAACTCGGCGAGATGCTAAGAAGGAAGAAGATGCGAGAAACGAAGCTAAAAGCTAGAGGCTGAAAAGCTGAAGCTAGAAAACGATGCAGAAACTAGAAGCTGTATCTGAATCTTTCATTTTTATAAGCCAAGTCAAGACCAACTGAACCAAAACAACAGAAGTGCCTCAGAGTAATTTTGTACCTTTTAAATCATCATCAAGTTTTCCTTTTTGAAGATTTTGGCAACTTCAGAGTCATGTGGTCAACACCAGTCTCCTCTAAAGTTATCCAGCCAAAGTGAAGAGCATTAGAGTTCATTTCGCATCAACCCGCAAGAGACGCCGGCAGATAACATCTCTGCACGACCTCCTGCAGAGAAGTCGAGCAGAAATCAAGAGTGCCCGAGACAGAAAGTCACCACAGCAACCACAGCCACCTGGGTTCCAGCCGAGGGTCTTCAGCTACAGCGCAACTCACAGTAGGCCGGTCTTAACACTCTGCTAGTGACTGGGTTGATGTCGAAATATAGCAATATTTAATCATCAAACCTAATTCGTAGATGTAGTATCATTAGCTGTATAGCCATAGTGTATAGCCATAACATATTCTCTCCCACCATTGCCAACTCATCACACTGCTCATTTCAATATTGTTTTCATCTTTATGATTATTACACCTTGCATTTACTCTGTAGATAGTAGTTTAGTTAATAAACTCCTTTATTTACACCCAGTTGTTGTCCTGTTGTGTTCTTTTGACGTAGAGACTGGAGATCCATTGAATCGAGAAGTCATGGCTTCCGATATGAGATTGATAAATTTGGCAATGAAGTAATTCATTGTTGTCCTCCTAGAGGACTGGTGCCCCATTTCAACGAGAGTAAATTCTAAAATATGGCGTTAACGCTACAGTAGCAATGGTGGATATTTGCCCAGTATGTGTGGCCCTTCTCTAGGAGTAAACAGTCAGTGTTTGCACAGGTAAAGGGAGGAAAAAGGCACAGCTGAAAATTTGGGTTGAGGCAAAATGTTTTTGAGGCGTCCCTGTTGTGAGAACAAGTCACTGCATCTGATGTATCATTGCTGATTGACCAGTGGAACAGAAATGCAGCATCTGAGAAGAGCAGGTGAAAAATCTGTGGTACTGTTTTAATGGATTACATGCAGAGGGAGAGAGAGAGCCAGGTCTAAACTGTGAGTGAGAGAGAGACAAACAGTGAAAACACTTAGTGACAGCAGTGAAGAATATTGCAGCAAATTTAAAGACATATTGACAAGTGACTTTACAGTATTTCTCCACTCTGCACCACAAATCTGTCATGTTTCCTCTATTTTTTAAGTCTCCAGGGCAGTAAAGCAGTGTCTTTTAATTTACATATTAGTTTTTATTCTCTTTCTCTGTTGGCCCTGCTTTACAGGGAGGTCAGAGGTCAAAAGCCGCAGAGTTGCACCATCACTGTGCTTCTGGTACAGGCTTATTGTCTTCTAACAAAAGCAGCAAACTCACCATGCAAGATTTCCATATGCTGTGGTCATGTGGTCTCTATTTCACTAAGTACTTTTGTAATTGTGCTGCACTTAGGGCCAAAGTTGAACCAGTTTTAAAGAGTTCTGCGAGTGGGGCACAGAGGGGTTGAGCAAATTAATGCACTGTGCACAGGTCTTACAATGAAATCAGGTTTTATCCATTTGAAATAGTAAAATGGGTTTATGATGAAATTGTGTTGGGACTAATTGGACTGTGTCAGAAGACGTCATCAGCGTGGCCCAGGACACGTTTGTAGTCACACTCCTAAAAGAATGTGGTCCAGACCACCTCTGAATGTGGTCCGAGTGATCGGATCTCATATGTGTCCTCAGTGTGTCTTTGGTAACTTCACACCTGTATTAAGGGCTGTCCGCTTGTGATCGGATCACCTGAGATGCATGTTAATACCAGGTCTGAAGAGGGAGGGCCTTTGTGTGATGTGTTGATGAATCAGCAGTTATTTAACATGTGTGTTTCCCCTGCAACAGGATACAAACGGTGCTGATAGCTCAGGCAGAGGCAGAGAGGATTAAGATGATTGGGGAGGTGGAGGCTTTCGCGATCGAAGTCGTCGGCAAGGCGGAGGCTGAGAAAATGAGACTGAAGGCGGAGGCCTACCAGCAGTACGGAGAGGCAGCTAAGAGTGCACTGGTCCTCGAGGCCCTGCCCAAGGTAACACATACACCGCTTTTCCAAGTGTCCTTAAAGTTCCGTAGTACACAACCATGAGCCAGTGCTAACTAAGTGTATGATTTCCCAAACTAGGAAATACTTTCATCAAGTCACTACATTGATAGAAAATGAGTCTGTTAAATATGAAGATCCTGCCATGAGAGAGTAAGCTTAGGAGAGAGACTGGAAACAGCCTGTTGTGTCTAAATGTAATAAAGCTGCCCACCAGCCCCTCTAAATGTTTTACATCATGTTTGTTAAATCCTCTCAACATCACACAACACAGCTTGTTTAGCTTTAAGAGACTAGCATGGTTGGATTTTATACATAATGCAGTGATATTGCCATGTAGAAACTTTTGTTTCAGTACTCAGCTCTCGAACCCAAATTCAAAACTGAACCCCAGAAGGTAAAAAGATTGTTGTTTTTCAGACAGCTAGATATGAAATGATGGCTAAAGTAAAGGAAAATGACAGCTCTCAGTCAGTGCTGTTCCGATACAGACACTAGTATCGGAAATGCTGCCTTAATACTGGAACAGGTATTCGATATAGGTGAGTACTGATAGGACAACTAGTGTAGGAAGTTTTATTTATTCCTACATTTATTTTTTTTTAATGATTGACAGTCAAATAATTAAAAGAAATATTCTATTATATTCATGTATCTGTTCATGTTTTACAAAGGGCCATGCCATAAAACAATGATAGCAAACATATCACATCCATACAAGGTTAGTAGTGTACAGATGTTGATTTTTTTTTCACAATGCAGCGGTATCGGATCATTACTCAGTATCGGCTAATCAATGGTATTGGAACATACAGTTGTGGTCAAAAGTTTACATACACTTGTAAAGAACATAATGTCATGGCTCTCTTGAGTTTCCAGTTATTTCTACAACTCTGATTTTTCTCTGATAGAGTGATTGGAACAGATACTTCTTTGTCACAAAAAACATTCATGAAGTTTGGTTCTTTTATGACTTTATTATGGGTTAACAGAAAAAGTGACAAAATCTGCTGGGTCAAAAATATACATACAGCAACATGAATTAGCAATTTTGGTGATTTAGAAAGTTGTGTCAATGAAATGAGCTTCATAGCATGGTCTCTTAACTTCTTGTGAGTGATTATGAGTGTGTGTGTATATTTTTGACCCAGCAGATTTGATCACTTTTTCTGTTAACCCATAATAAAGTCATAAAAGAACCAAACTTCATGAATGTTTTTTTGTGACAAAGAAGTATCTGTTCCAATCACTCTATCAGAGAAAAATCAGAGTTGTAGAAATAACTGGAAACTCAAGAGAGCCATGACATTATGTTCTTTACAAGTGTATGTAAACTTTTGACCACAACTGTACGTAACTAGTCTCAGTCTTACCTTGTGATCATCACAGTCGATTCATCTTGCGAATATTATTTATTTTACTTATTTTATATGGCCGATTTTGTTCTGCTTAGGGTTCACATTTAACCGTATCTTTGCAGATTGCGTCCAAGGTGGCAGCGCCATTAGCCAAGACCAATGAGATTGTCATCCTGAACGGGGACGGCAGCTGTGTGACAGGAGAGGTAAACCGCCTTTTGGCTGAGCTGCCTGTGTCTGTCAAAGCTCTCACTGGAGTGGATTTGTCAAAGGTAAGCAGGCTTCATAATATGGAGTTGTAACAGTGTAAATGTATATGTATTATTACTAAATCCACGAGGGAGTTTTGTCAGTGGCCAAAAATGACGTCTTTGCTTTGTAGGACAACACTAAAAAACTGTTAGCTGATGTTTCTGTGTTTGTCTGCGCACATGCTTCTATTTTTGTGTGTGCTGATTTAATTTAATTTAATTTCTTATTTATTTATGTTAAGTTTATTTGTTTCCTCCAAAGGGGGGCATGTTGGCCAAAGACACACAACAAACAAAAAAACAGCCTTTTGTTATTGGGTGGTTATAATGTACCATTCAGTATTTAATTAAAGGTGTACTCCAGTGATTGAGTGTTGCACTTTCATAAAGTCAAAATAAAATAAATCAAAGCTGCAGAGGCCAAGATGCTCTTTTACTTATTAACACCCACCTCTGTTAAAACAACACAACTCAGGTTCAGGTACACAGATTTTCTTGTTAAATATTTGTAGTGTCTAAGGCCAAGCTGAGAAAACTTTGATGACAATATCAGTGTTATTTTCTGTTGAGTAGACTCATGTCGCGTGAACTGAACTTTAAATGTAATGTAGTGTAATATAAAAACAGTGGAATGCCTCTTTAAGTTTGGCCTTGACAGTATGGTGTGAATTGCATGTTTATTTTTAAGGTCAATTTAAGACAAACAAAAGTGTCTCAGAAGACGACTTTTATTTCACATCAACAGCAACAGTGTTGCAGGTAGCGCGTGCGTCACTGCAATAGCATCACTACCATGCAGGTTACAGTCACCAAAGTTTACAGGTGTGTAGTTGAAATGAAAATTAAGGCGGGGTTTGAAGATGGTTGTGTTCTGTTGGAATGTCAGTATGTTGACGGGCGCTAGGGCTGGTGTGATCCCATCTCAAGTTGTTCTCCAGCAGCTTTCTGTCTCAAAAAAAAAAAAAGTAGGTCATGAAAGCGGTCTAGCTTACTGATGGAAAATTCATGAGGGTTTGTTTCAGAGCCTCGGAGTCTCCATACCTGGTTGAATAACGTGCCGTTTTATTCGACAGATCCCATTGCTGCAGAAGATGACAGTACTCAAGCCTGAAAACTGATGACTCCACATGACTCCAGTATCTGTTGTATGCACACTCATAGACTGCCTTTAATACACTTGAAATTTTTTTCGTTTTATACGTATATACTGTATACCAAGTGAATTCTTTGGAAACCTCTGGTGCCTTACTTTATACAGGACCAGAAAATCTGCATGCATTGTTGCTCATTCAAAGAACTTTTATTTCATTTTAATTTGGGAATAGTTTGTGTACTTTTTTTCTTTTTTGTATTTTTCTTATAGTTTTGGTATTTGAATTGTATATATCGGCCCGTTTGTATGAAATGTCATTGAAAATGAGAGCTGATATTAGACAGGCGTGACAGTTACAACCCAATGACTCTCACCCAGGTTACATTTATATTATCTCGTGTCCTGACAGCTGATGTTAACACTTATTCTTTGGTATTTATACATCAGGGCTCTAGTTTTTTCAGATGACAAGGCCTCTGCTCTCACTTTTTACCCTTGGTATGTTGCAGGCCTTTTTGTTGATATCTACACGTCCTTATTTGACACATCTGCATTCCCATGATAATCTGAATCATTCTTGTTAATTTTAGAACTTTATTTGTATTGTTCATGTTGTATTTTTTGACTAGCAAACGTTATTCATTATGTCTCAGTGATTGATTTTTACAATTTAACAAAGGTGCTCACAATCTTAAAAGTAGACCCTTTTATTGTACAAATCTCCATTTTAAGTTTGTCCCATCTGCAGAGTTTCTTCAGGTTTTGTCTGCTCCTCTGAGAAAAGTTTCATTCTCTGCAAAATGTTGTTATCGGGCTTGATACATAATGATTCTAATTTAATTGTTGATAGAAAAACAGGAAGCAAATTCTGATCTTGTTCAGTATAAGAGCTCAAAACGTGTTCCATTAATATTTAGTGTAGGTTTTACTGTAAAATAGTCATAGTTTTGGCATTCAGACTGAAAAAAAATTGATTGGTATTAAAAAAAAAAGAAAAAAAAGGAGAGAGTGAAAATGGCTGAGTTGGAGTTGTGTTAAACATGTTTATATAAGGAAAAAAGCTTAATTTAACAGAATGGATTCTGAAAATGAAAGGCCAAATAACGATGCCAAATAGAATAGATCGACTTTTTTTGTACCAGAAGGAGGGATAGGGATACTGCATAGTTTACCTGACACTGATGTTTAATTTTGCACTACAAATATCTGTAAATGCTAAGCCATGTTCAGGTTCTGTCAACAAACCGAGCTCACGTTTCACAGAAAGACACTTTCTGTTCAATGTGTGTACATGTTTGCACTTAAATAACTGTCACATCAAATATAGAATGGCACTTTCTTATTTATCAAACAATGTTTTATGTGTTTTACTTGATGTGTTTTGTTTTTTTTGCACCAAATGTTAAGCTCCAGAGCAGCTGTACACAGGATCTGATGCTTAGTTAACTGTCAAAGATTTCTGGAAAATGATTGGCAGGGAGTTGGCAGATATAGTATATTATTGTGCATAACAAGTCGACCCCTCCAGTGAAATTTAATTTCATCCACTTCCACTTCCACTTCCACTTCCAGAAGAAGTGACAGTAAACTCTGGTAACCAGTACCTGCTCCAAACCTCTCAAAGCTGCACTCACCTCTACTAAACTGAAACTGGCCTGACGGTGATGTTTAGTTTGAATCTCATATCTCATACAAAGAACAAATGCAATGGTAGTTTTATGTGTGAGCACACTGATACAGAATTTACAGAGGACTGTTATTATTGTTGTTTTTTCTGTATCAATGGCTCATTTTGATTTATGTTTGTATCATTTTTTGTCTATGTAGTGACTTGACAAATACTGTGACCATATTGATTTGTTTTTGGCAAGCAAATATTTTGTACTTCAGATGTGTTCAATATATAAACTTAACTCGAACTTATCTGTCTAATGTTTTTGTGCGATTATTACATATATGTGTTATATTCCCAATTTTATTTAAAGCATACACTATGTGTTTCAAATGGCCATGAGTTTCTGTATGCTCTTGCTGCATGTCATCGGTTGTACTCAGAATATTCACTTTACTCTTAGCTAATTGTCATTCTAATAAATCAAAATGCCATAATTTATTTATTTATTGCCATTTTCTATTCTGCACATTTTATTTACAGTCATCTTTAATTGTTTTTCACAGATTTTGCTTTTTAATCCTGGTTCAAAGGATAAAAGGTTTCAAAATAGGGTGATTTCCATTGTATCAGAAGGAGTAAATACTAAGCCATTTTCAACAAGTTTTGTCAACAAACTCACATTTCTCAGAAACATGATTTCTGTTCCATATATGTACATGTTTCAAAATAGGGCGATGTACAAGTACAAATAAGTGGTAAAGTGTATTCAGCATGTACAATAATATCAGTCGTTTTTTGGTTGAAGATGTAAAGAGTGTCATTTTTCTTTCAATTATTTAGGCTGATGTTTTGTCATATTTATGTAAATCAGAAAAAAACAATTTTGTTTTTAAATTCACCTCTGTAAAAAAACTAAAATTTCTTGTCTGGCAAAAGAAACTCAGACTTCACTGTGTCCACTCCACTTCGGAAATCAAACTTGTAAATCTTTTTGTAGTTATTTTGTGTCTCTTTCGTCATTTTGCATCTGTTTGGTGTCTCTTAGTGGCAGTTTTGTGTCTTTGTAGTAATTTTGAGTCTCATTACAGTTGTTTTGAGTCTTTTGTATTCATTTTGCATTTTTTGTGGTTGTTTTGTGCCTGTGAACGTTTTGTGTGTCTTTGTGGTCATTTTGAGTCTCATTGCAGTTGTTTTGAGTTGTTTAAGCTGAGCTCTATGACTTTAAAACAAATGAACATTAATTTCTTTCAGAGGCTCTGTGCCTGTGCCCTGTAGGCCTATTACTCCATTCATACTGGCAGGAGTCACTCTACATAATGAATATACTTTTTTTCTGATACTTGAAGTTATTTTTTGATGACAAAAGTAAATATTTAAGGGTTTGCACATGTGATAGAGTATTTTACGGCGTAGCATCTTTCATGCGAATATTTCCCTTACCCTTGAGAGATAAAAACGTCCCAGCCGCGGGGATTATTGTGCAGGCGTTTGTTTTCGACGCCTAAACGCAGAAGCGGGTCCTTTGTGTTTGCGCATGCGCGGCAAGTGTTGCTGCCGTAGCCAGACAGCAGCACGGAGAGCCGAGACACCGGGGAGGGTCTCTGCATTTTAACAGCAAAATCAACATTATATCTCCACAAAATGAAGTTACCTTACTCATAGATTCATGAGGAGTAAGTATCATCCTCTTTAATACGGGTGGCGTCGGTGTTTTTGGTCAGTAACGAGCTAAAGTTTGCTGAGCAGCTGGCCTGCTCTCAGCAAGCACAAAGAAGCTCCTTATTTATTGTGGAGCTTGACTCGAGCTAACGCACTCTACGACGTTATTTTACCCTTTTTTTATCTCCGTCAAAGCGGGCACCGTGGCCCTGCAGCCAACCCGGCTTGTATTGTGTAGCTGGAAAGGTTCTGCTACATTCATTAGACCAGTACTAACTTTATTTAGCTATTTAAACTACACCAGATTAAGGCTGGATTGTCGGACAGATGCTAACGTTACCCAGCTACAGACTGTCTGAAAGTTAACCTGCCTCTGCAGAAGAATGAATAAATAAATACGTGTGTGATTCAACACGGACAAAGGTCAGCATAGGCTTTAGCTCAGGACTTACTGTGTGACCTGTGTCCGTAGAAAAGGTCACATTATTTATGAGGATGCTTTTACTGATCACTGGAAACACTGGACCTATAGCCAAAGGCATTTTATGTTGGAAACAAAAAGACGAGTCTTATTGAATCTGTGCTCACACAAACACTTTATATCAACCACAGGATCAGTACAAATCCTTTAGAGGCTGCACCATTATAACAATTCAGCTGTAAGTATCTGAACAGTGTAGGTGACCCAATGATGAATCATAGACTGTCTGCAACTCAGTGATGAATCTGCAAAATGATGTGTGAGTAAACCTTAAGAAATTATCAAAGAACCCTTACCAGAATCCTTCCAGTGAAAGAGATGGGGAACAGAATCCACACCAGGGTTAAGGCCGGTCATTGATTTCATTATGTGTTAGAAATTGAATGATTGGTTGATCAACAGAAAAACAATCTGCAACTATTTTTATAATAGACAAATTGTGTCAATAATTTTTCAAGCAAAAAATAAGCCAAATATTTGCAAATTTCAGCGTCAGTTGAGGAGAGATGCTGCTTTAATTTCTCATGCATAAATGTAAACTGAATATTTTGATAGAAACAAACATTTGAAGACATCAACCTCAGATCTTCGAAGTTAGGATAAACAGGTTTTTTTGATGTTTCACAGACAAAAGAATTTACTGATTAATCGTTAATGAAAATAATATGTGTGGACTGAATGGATGTGTCTGGTAATAGAAATGTTGAATTTTATGACCATAACACCTGATCCTGTTAATAAGGGCTGTATAGGTGCCAGTAGCAACCTGGTGTATCAGGCCAGGGGTGGCACTGGGAATTGTCTGAAGGAGACGTGGATGTTTACGTATACTGTTTACGCTGCTTCTTTATTTAAGACCTCTGATATAAGCTAACGACATGTTTCAGATGGTGACCACTCCAACAAAGGCTCAAACCATATCAATAGAGTTGATTAATTTGTTAGAAAATTAAAATTCATTTGATTAAAAAATTGATAATTTTTCAAACCAGAAATTATCCAGAGTTCCAGCTTCTAAACTGTGAACATAAACTATCTTATTTGATGGCACATTTAATACATTTGGGTTTTGGACTGTTGGTTGGATAAAACAAAGACGTCACACTGAGCTTAAGGAGACTGTTAAGTGCGTTTTCACAATTGACATTTTATTCATTAGATTGTCAGCCCCCTTAACCTACTCCAAGTCTGGCCAGCAAATAGGTTTTCTTATGGTTTACTCACACATCATTTTGCCGATTCATCATTGATTTACAGACAGTCTATGATTCATCACTGGTTCACTGGTATTTGAGAGCAAAAGTGCTTATTTGGATATGCACAGCACTTCTTTGTGGAAGTATTTAATGAGGCCACTTGCTTTTTTTTTTTTTATATGAAAATACAATTGGATTTGGGATCAGTGCTTTTATTTTAATTTGCTTCCAGCTTTTCATAATATCATCCATTAAAAACCAGTTCAGCAGAGGATATTGTGCTTCTTTTATTGACACTTTTTCATGTGAGTTTGAAGAAGAAAGCTGGTTGGTTTGTCGCCTGGCATCATGCTGTGTCTCTGCTGTTTTGTTGAAGGGAAAATCTGCTTTTTCCATCTCAGCTCGCTGCAAGGTGTACGCAGCATGCTTTTACAGAACCATGATGTCAGTTTATTACAAGCTGCCATTTGCAAAAGGTCAAACTGTACTGGATGTGAAAATAGGCGATAGCGAAGTCATCTCACACCAACGTTAGTGTCTGTCAGCGGCTGACTTATGCCTGCTCTGTTTCTCCCCAGTATGGTGAGGAGAAGGTGTCCCATGCTGCATTAGTGGAATAGTGACATGCTGGCCTGTCTGCCAGCATCAGGTGACCCTACCGTCAGACTTCTCTCCCGCACGCAGATGAACACTGGACTTCAGAAATGTAAGTGTTTTAAAATGAGTCATTTGCTCAGTGGTCAGCTTCAGGGATCAGACTGTGTGCTGATTTTGCAGTTTTATTCTCAGTGTCTGGTCCACAATCTCATTTAGCCACAATCTGCTAAGATTTACATGACAAGAAGGATTCTGTCAGTCATTCTTTCTGACTCACAAGTGCTAAACATTTGAGAGCAATGTGATAATGTGTCTTTATACAGTGTAAATAATATGACTTCTCAGTAAGTGCTGACAGCGTGAAATGTGTTGAACAAACTCCACCTGCAGCTTAACAGTGCATATGATCCTGAATTTAAAAGTACACAGTGGAGCGCTTCAGTTGAATACACTATCATTTTATTTTGTTGTGGCTGTTGTGCATTTGGTGCAAAACATTAACAGAGGTGAAGTGGGTTTTTGTTATCCATAAAATGCCCTGCCAGCTGCAATGACTACACAACTCTTAACAGAGCTGTAGCAGAGAAAACTACAGTGTAGCTCACCCTGTAGTACCTTTCACTCGCACTGTGTCTGTTGTGTGACAATGTAGTATTACAGTACATTTCAGTATATTATACTATATATTTCAGTATATAGTGTTGTGATGTGCTGTGCTTCATTAGGCCTTCCTGTTGTATGACCTTATACACATTGCAGGGGAAACTACACAGAAGATGAGATCTGCCAGCTACCCAACCCCAGCAGAGTTGGATGCCTATGCTAAGAAAGTTGCCAACAACCCTCTGACCATCCAGATCTTCCCCAACAGTGTCAAAGTACCTCAAAGGAAGCACATTCGACGCACAGTCAACGGGCTTGACACATCCTCGTCCAGCCAGCGCCACAGTCCCTACCCCTCTCAGGTAAGCGCCAGTGGGGGCCTGCTGGCTGTCCTCCGAGCGCCTGCCAAAGGCGTCATCAAAGAGTCAGACGGCTGCCGCGCCCGACACCTTCACAAGGCCATCATGAACCCTCACAGTGGGCCGTATGCCACTCAAAGCACTTTAAATCTTCCTCAGCCTGCACCTCACCTACAGGGCCCACCTCAGCCTGCGGTCCAGGCTGCCCAGAAGCAGGGCATGGTTCACCCACAGGCGCTACAGCAGCAGCAAAGCATGACTCATCCAATGACTTTACAGCAGCCTCAAACTATGCCTCACCCACAGGCTTTACAACAAAGGAACATGGCTCATTCACAGGCTCTGCAGCGGCAGCAGAGCTTGTCCCAGGTTCAGACTTCACAGCAGCAAAGATTGGCTCATCCACAAGGCATACAGAGGCAGCAGAGTCTGCCTCACCCCCAGGCTCTACAGCAGAGCCAGTCCTGTCCCTCAGTCGTACCACAGCAGCATCTTTCTCATCTGCAGACACTAAAGCATCAGACAGCTCCTCCCCAAGCTTTACTTACACAACAAGGAGTGACTCAGGATCTGCGCCACATATCTG